TTCCTTAGGCGTTTCGTCACCGCACAGTAATTTCCACTTCTTTTCTTTGTTGTACGACAGTTCCAGGAGTACAGTCTTCTCACTGTCATTCACTTTCACACCCATCAAAGAAATTGGAGTATCTCCCTCCTCCGGCACATTGTCGATGGATACCGTTGCCACAAGAGTGAAGTTGTAGTTCGCAAAGTGGTACAGCTGATTCTCCCCCTGCTCGCCAACAGGCCACTCCGCCCACGCTCCCGTGAAATTCACACCATCGGAAGTCTTTGTTGCCCTTGCAGCCCCTTCATTCTCCTTCACTGTGGCGTTCACCCCGAGGTACTCGTCCCTCCATGTGTCATTAGAGAAGTTGCCGGACAAAAAGCCAACCAGCCCATCCGTCGGAATGACAGCGCTGCAGTCATTGCCAGTTGAGCCATCATTCTCAGCACTTGAGGGGCACAGTTTGGAGACAGTTTTGTCCACTTTCTTCCACGTCGCCAGCACGTCCTTCACACGCTGCAGCTGCTCAGTCAGAAGCACAGACCAAAGACTGTGTGATGGTTTCCCATCGTCCTTCTTCTCGTACAGTGCAATCAACTTCTCCTTCTGCTCATTATTATTATCTCCACTTCCAGCACTTTTGTACAGCAGGGAGCTGGCAGCAGCGTCATCATCGGATACCGGCCCAATATCAACAATGTGCGTATTGTCCGTCAGCCAAAGATGGAGTTCACCTTTTTCTTTTTTATCAGCCTTCTCGGGATAAACCGGCAGAGTCACAAGCATCACATTTTTCTTATCATCATCGCCAATCGTCGCTGTGATGAACCCGCTTCTAACGCCCTTCGCCCCTTCGCCCTGTTTGTTGCCCCACACGCGCGAGAGTGTCCCGAGCGCCTCCGTCCACGACTCCCCCATGTCACCGGACTCGTACACCCTGCGGCGGCCATCATCACACGCAGTCATCATGATGAGTTTTTTGTCCTTCTGTCCCCACTCCACGACGGAGGGATCACTGCAGCCATCGTAAGGAACCTCCTTCGACAGCGTCCAACTCTTAGCATCCTTCAAGGTGTGTATGATCAGAGAAACGGCCTTTTCATCCTTTGGTGCGTCACCCTCCTTCTTCGTGCCTTCCACTGGAAACACAAGCGTACCGTCCTTCATCTTAATACCCGATCCACCACTGCCAAACAGCCGTGTCCAAGAATCGAGTTCGCCAACAGAAATACGCGAGACATCGTCATTATCTTTCCAATGGATTCTTTTTTCGCCGCTATTTTCTTCACTGACGTTCCCTTTCACCAGCAAAAGTCCGCAGTCCTCGGCACCGCTATTCTGAGCACCAACAGCTGCCTGGCTGTATTTCCCAACAAGCACGTAAATATCATTTTCCTGCACAACTGTTGTTGGTCGGCTCACATCCACTTTCTTCTTTTGGACTTCGGAACCGTCTTCCAGAAATCGTGTCTTATCTTTAGGATCCTTCAGAACTTCCACCGGTGTGTTAGCATTATCTTTCGTGATAATTTGGGATGCAACGCCAGTAAAAATGACGCTATCCTTTTTGCACTGCGCTTCGGCAACGGCAAACACGTCACTCCCCACGTTTAGAAGGCCCGCAGCACCCAACGACTCCACAGTTTCATCCTCAATCTTGACGTCCTTCCATTCAAACTTTGAAACTGTTGACTGCCCCGCAATTTCCGCAGCACCTCCAGTGCCGCAGCACATCATCACGACGAGGAGCAGCACCGCAGAGTAGAAGAGATGCCGGGACATGTTGGGCCTCTGCGGCTCACTCTCTCCTCCTTCCCTCCTCCTTCCGCTGGATCCGGTCACGCGGCAACGGTTGTGTGTGCGAGGTGCCTTCACTGCAGCAACACGTGAGAGCATATAAATATGTGTGTGGGCGGTGTGTGTGCTGTTGGTCCTTTCAGGGCCTTCAAATCTCACAGTAGCGATTAGCGCTTGTTTGCTTTCTTCGGGTGTGAGAGAGAGAAGAGGAAAATGGAGTGAAACAGTGAACACCGCCGCCCCTCCACAGTGAGCGGCACCATCATCTCCACCGCAGTCACTCCCAAAAACAACAACTCACGCACACAGGCACACGGAATGAGAAGGAAGAACAGTGCACCGGGAACACACAGCGACTGCCACCAGCAGTAAAAGCCACGGCGGGTACCTTGTGCTTCCGCCGCGCGTCAGCGCACACACGGAGCAACGCCCACATGCGCTGCCGCCAGTCGTTTTACTGTTGTCTCTTCCCACACCCTCCACCGCACATCGCCCCGCACAGCCGGAGAATCCTTCGTGGGTGCATGAACAGCGAGAGGAACACGTCAAACCGTGCAGCTGCCGGGCAAGAATCCATGCTCACCTTTCCCAGTCATCCTCAATGCCACACCACGTTAGTCAATTGCTGCACGACAAGA